CTCGCACAAATCACTGCTTCTAAGCATTTAAGCCACTTGCGTTAATATTTGACGTTTAACGATAGTGACAACTCTCTAGATTCATAAATATCCATACAGATGCTACAAATGGCCTAACTGAACAGTTTTAATAGCATATTAGTGTTGTAGGCTAAAAACAAAACCGGTTACCAAGAACGGGAACACACACAACAATTTGCTCCTATGTCATTCTGTCCACAAGTAACGAGATGAGCTATACTTCACACTGCAACCAATGAAAAATAGGTCATCAATTATTTATTTGAATTCATAAGAGGTACAGTTTCTAACCGGAAATAATTTGAAGTTGTATTTCTATTGAAACACTTAATTACAGATTGCCTGATATAGTTGCACGAGTCCTAAAATGTTTATGTATATTGTATATTATACAGCAATCGGAAACCTTCGGCACTTTCCGTGAACAGGAAAATACTGTCCTCGTTTACGGAAAGAGCCGACAGTTTCCGATTGATTATACAGTCTTCGGTGTCGCTGGCCACGAGTCCGACACTGCAGTACAACATCACCAGGGAATTGGTGACCGAGACCTATTTGTCCTAATTGGGCTCAGATAAGGGATGTTTATAGGTTTATTTGAAAGAAAGGAAGGCGAGTAATGGAATGAACGACGAAAGGAAAAACAACTGACTCTAAGTGTAAGACGATAGTTCAAAATGAAAAGCAAATGACATTGAAATTGAAATAACCTATGTTACACATATAAATGCGTCTTAGTGAATAAATAAAATCTGAAATCTGAAATGTTCACTGTGTAATTTACATTCGTAAATTATTGGTGTTATAGTGAAGTTTTTAACATATTTGACCCATGTGACCTTGAAAAAAGGTCAAGGTCATTTTAATAGGACACTTTATAGCATTCCATCCCAGGTACCTACTGGCCAAATATCATGACCCTCGGCCATATGGAACTTGAGAAGAAGATTGTTAAAGCTTTTAACCCATGTTGACCTTTGACCCCCCAATTAGCACTTAAAGTTGACCTTTGACCTCATTACTATAGTATAGATAAAAAAGATTCATACAGCTGGTATACATAACATACCAAAGTATTATGACTATAGTCCAAATGGTTCCTAGGATATTGTGGTTATGAGTTTTTAACATATTTGCCCCTCCCCACCCCCTGTGCCCTTGAAAGTAGGACAAGGTCATTTTAATAAGGACATATTATAGCACTCCATCCCAGGTACCTACTGGTCAAATATCATGACCCCTGGGCCTTATGGAACTTGAGAAGAAGATTGTTAAAGCTTTTAACCCATGTTGACCTTTGACCCCCCAATTAGCACTTAAAGTTGACCTTTGACCTCATTACTATAGTATAGATAAAAAAGATTCATACAGCTGGTATACATAACATACCAAAGTATTATGACTATAGTCCAAATGGTTCCTAGGATATTGTGGTTATGAGTTTTTAACATATTTGCCCCTCCCCACCCCCTGTGCCCTTGAAAGTAGGACAAGGTCATTTTAATAAGGACATATTATAGCACTCCATCCCAGGTACCTACTGGTCAAATATCATGACCCCTGGGCCTTATGGAACCTGAGAAGAAGATTGTTAAAGCTTTTAACCAATGTGGACGTTCGACCCCCGACTAGCACTTAAAGTTGACCTTTGACCTCATTACTGTAATTAAGAACAAGAGGCACATATGGCCTGTATCGCTCACCTGTTTCTTTTGTTACATGAAACTGACATATAGGTAATTTAAGACCAAATTTGATAAATAGAACACAAGATATTTTAACATCTCTTAAAAAGTTCTTAAGATATTGTTGTTTGAAATTTGAAATTTTAATTTCAAAGCTTTTAACCCACGTTGACATTTGACTCCGGCTAGCACTTGCAGTTGACCTTTGACCTCATTACTGTAATCAAGAAAAAGATTCACACAGCTGGTATACATAACATACCCAAGTATCATGACTCCAGACCAAATGGTTCTTAAGATATTGTCATTTGAAGTTTATAATATATTTGACCCCTGTGACTTTGAAAGTAGGTCAAGGTCACTTCAATGAGGAAATTTTATAGCATTCCATCCCAGGTATCTATTAGCCATATATCATGACCCGGGTCCTTATAAAACTAGAGCAGATTGTTAAAGCATTTAACCCATGTTGACCTTTGACCCCCCAACTAGCACTTAAAATTGACCTTTGACATCATTACTGTAATAAAGAAAAATATTCACACAGCTAGTGTACATAACATACCAAAGCATTATGACTCTAGTCAAAATGGTTTTCAGAAAATAGCTATTTAAAGTTTTTGACCTATTTGACTGAGGTGACCTTGAAACTAAGTCAAGGTCATTTTAATACAGACACTTTATAGCACTCCATCCCAGGTACTTACTGGCTAAATATCATGGCCCTGGGCCTTATGGAACTTGAGAAGAAGATTGTTAAATGTTTTTACCTATATTGATCTCGGACCCCAGCTAGCACAGCTGGTCTACATAACATATCCAAGTATCATGACTCTTGTCCTTATGGTCCTTTAAATATTGTTGTTTGATCTTTTTTAACATATTTGACCCATGTGACTTTGAAAGTAGGTAAAGGTCACTTTATAGCATTCCATCCCATCTACCTACTGGTCAAATGTGACCCTAGGTCCTCCAGTTCTTCAGAAAATTCATTCAAAAGAAAATGTTGGCATAAGCTCACATGGCCCTTCATCGAAAACCTCTTCAATATGAACCTATTGGTTCCTGTGGTATTTGGATAGGACAGCGTTTTTTTTTTTCACTGTAAGGCGTCTAATTACGAAATTAGATTATCCAGGTTGCTGTTTTAGAGTAGTACTACATAGGGTCCCAAGCCGCAGAACTCACTCAGGCAAATAATGAATGTAGATATTATACTTACATACATCCTGGCCAATGAACACACATTACTAATATATTCCTGTCTAAGTTGATTATCTCACAAGAAATAAAACCATGACTCCATATTACAAAATTTGATATGATGGATTTTTGGCAGATTGAAACTAGCTTGTGTGTATATACATCCCCCCCCCCCCCCCCCCCCCATACTTTCTGACATGATTCAGTTAATTTTAAGTGGGGTTTCCGAAAGCTCTTCAAACCTGTCACAATTTGTTTTTTCTTAGCTCCTCTTTTCACTACAAGACCCTCGTATGAGGCATCGGGTCCACCAAAAGGGAAGCAACTCTAAAATCTCATCATCAATTTCAAAAGATTAAGTGGAACTCACCCTTAATTCCTCCTGTAATGCAAGTTCTTCGGTAACCGAAATCGCCACCCTCCACTGATTAAGTCACAGGACCTGTTGTTGTTAATCCGACTCTTTATAATACCAGAGATAGCTGATGTTCGGATTAGAGTTATAAATGGAAATATGACCTTTCTATGTAAATCAGGCCATATCAGGAAAAAATCCCAGACTCCCAGTTCTCACTCAGAAAAACATTAACCCTATTTATGCATGTTTCTTGTTTCATAGATGTCATGTTTTCACACCCTTGTGTAAGTCGATATGTAACTATTTTTACGTTGTCAGAGCTTATGCCTAACACCACCCAACAGTTTAATAAGAGGCCAAATGGGCCTGCATCGCTCACCTCGTATTAATCTCGAAATTGTAACATAAAGTTACAGGCAAAATATCAGTGTCTTCGACACTTATGTCATTCAAAAGAACCTGTTAAAAAATCTGAACCAGTGTCATGACAGTCTAACAAGGTCATTAAGTTGAATAAACTTTATAGTCCTTCATCCTTTTGTGTTTTGAGGTGAGGTCATTTGTGACATTGAAAGTGGGACAAGGTCAGTCACATGAACAAACTTGATAGCTCTTCATCTGAGCATATTACTGGCCAAATAACACCACCCTATGCATTTTGGTTATTCAAAAGAATTTGTTTAAATATTTTCAACACATTTGACCTTTGCGACGTTGCAGCTCGTTATCTGATCATGTTACTGGCCACATGCCATATCATACACTAGGCCTTTTGGTTATCCAGAAGTCGCTTGGATATATTTAACACAATTGACTGATTTGACCTTGAATATGGGTGAAGGTCATTCATTTGAACAAACATGAACAACTTCTACAAGCTAAAAACAAAAAAATAACAGGGCTTTGTTTGAACCACACAAAATGAAAATGGTTCATACTCTTTTTATTTTCAACACTACAGAGTCAGAGATTTCAACCATGACAAAATCATGATCAAATACATGTTTTTCACAAACAACAATTCATATCAATACCTGATAACCTTGACCTTTGGAGGCAACCATTCACATCATCACCTGGTAACCCTGACCTCTAGAGACAACCACTCACATCATCACCTGGTAACCTTGACCTCTAGTGACAACCACTGGTATTGATTCCTGGTAAAATTGACCTCTGGAGACAACTCCTTAAGCAAAGTCCAGATTGTTTCCCCTATATGACACTACTGAGATTCCAGTTAATTATCAAACTTTCTGAGTTATTTTTTTCACTGTTTCAAACTACGATCAATGTCGGATCGCTAGGAAAACATTGAAAACTCAACTAATAAATCAAAGTAAAACAATTACCTGTATGAGAAAATTGAACTGAACGGGATCATTTTAACTCCTAAACATTCAAACTACAGTGTAGAAATACATCAAACATATTTTTTCAATTACATTAAATCCATCACTTTTAGATTTTAAATTAACTTTTTTGTGTTATGTTCTGTCGATGAACAATCACATTTGTTCCTCTGCAGTATATACAGGATTTCAAAGATGTTCCAAGGTCAATATTTGTGCGCCGAAGTCTCATTGTTTTCAATTTTTTCCCGATGGTCCCGCAAAGTTTGCCTGTATCTTCATTGTACATTAGATGTGAGGGGTGAACTGTAGAAAATGGTGGTCTGATGATGCTTTCACTTTAATCCATTGAAATATAAAATATAAAACGTAACGTCAGAATCTTTAAAAAATTTATTGGGCATTTCTGACATATTTTTCACACCAAAAACACAATTATAACTCGTTTTTGATCAGTCATTCATTAAAATCATGTCTGAAGATATTTGTTTCTGCTAACACAATGCGAAAAATGAAAATGATAAAAATTCTACATAACATATGTAAACAATCTATCAAATCATGTTTTCAAGTACAGGATGATATTTCAAACAAAAGCTACCATTATCAGAATTGAATACTTAAAACAAAAATTAAAAAAATTAAACACTTGATTTCTCAATATCGGTTATAAAATGATTAAGGATTATTACTAATTTTCACATAGCTCTGGAATAAAAATGTGAACTTGCATACATTTTATATATATGTATTACAAATGTATATCAACCTCATGGAAAGTAAATTGAGCCAACAAACGCCTGGTTCGAAGACGGGCCGAATGCTGAGGGTTCGAACAAAACAAAAACGTTTTAAAACACTATTGCTTTGGAACACACCCCTTGTGCTCATTTACATCTAACTGATTTTTATCCAATCTGAGTTTTAAAGGATCCTCAGAGCTCTTTACTGAAGAAAACAAATATTGAGATTGATTTAGATTTGGCTAAAATAATATTTCTCACCACTCCTTTGTCTCACAAATTCTGTAATTGACAACAGCCTCAGTCCTTGAGTGTTTCCTTTCTTAACTTTGATAAACAACAGTAGCGTATTCGTCCCCATACTGCTGAAGGGCAACATTCAGGAATCATTAACCCAAAATGTCCCCCCCCCCTTTTTCCACAGAGTATCATTATTCAGACAAGTTTTGTCCTTAATAAAGTGTTCCCCACTGCCTAGGGCAACAACCTTTATCCCCGTAGAGGAAACAGTCCCCCTATCCCCGTAGAGGAAACAGTCCCCCTATCCCCGTAGAGGAAACAGTCCCCCTATCCCCGTAGGGACACAGACGAGTGTTCCCCACTAAGGTACCTGAACCCCTATGCATTTGTTTTTTGGCTGGTTTTCCTGTTTAGGGTTATCTGCCCTTGTTGTCTCCAGTGGTTACCACCAGGTATTTTTGGATTGTTTCCATGGCGATTTGCCATCCATGGGTATTGTCTTCAACCTTTATTCTTGGGGACATCCTTCCATCTATTCAGAAAGGATGATACGCTGGCCATGCTCACACCTGCCAATGCAACAAAAAATTTGATGAATTTATAAAATTTCACAAAATGTTAAGGTTTGCGAAAAAAGTAAGACCTTTCTAAAATCTAAACCCACTTGTAACATACAATAATGATAGTAACACTAGCCTAGAGTGACAATAACTATGACCAGTTCACATCAGGAAGGTAGGCATTTTTTCGTTGTTCGTGCTGGAATGAATATTTACATTCTTAATTTATAGATTTTTAATTATCTCATTTAAAAACCGAACATTTTATGATGAGAATGAGATTATTATATTTTCTGACCTCTACAGATGCAAAATAGTACATGTTGCATGTGAAACACCATGTGGGATTAATAGAATCCCTCAATCCTTTGGGGGTGACATAGGGGAATCTCAACCCAAGGGGGAAGATTCTTAATTTGCTAAACACGAGGCTTTGCCAGGAATGCTAAAATGTTCATTTACTGAAAATCAAACAATACTATAGAAACTGTATATTGAGAAACTTTTCACCCAGTCCAACTTTCGCCCTTCCCCGGTAAAATCCTTATCCGCCCAGTGTTGATTTCACCCTTCCCCGGTAAAATCCATATCCGCCCAGTGTTGATTTCGACCTTCCCCAGTAAAATCCATATCCCCCCAGTGTTGATTTTGCCCTTCCCCAGTAAAATCCATAACCGCCCAGTGTTGATTTCGCCCTTCCCCAGTAAAATCCATATCCGCCCAGTGTTGATTACGCCTTCACATTGTATTACTATGTATATTATGTTGTTTACTGATGTTCGCTGTAGTGATAAATTCTACCTCATTACGGAGGGCGGGAACTGTGAAAATTAAACTATAGCGCAAAATTTCTCTGTATACTGTCTACATTTTGATATTTACCTTCCTGTGCTGTCAACATTTTCTTCACAAGTGGCGGTAAAATGGCTCTGTCCAGTTCCTTAGCTGTTAGTACGGCCACCATATTTCCACCGTTCAACTCGCCTCCCTGTAGGGCCAGGTAGCGGGCACAGTTCAGGATCTCAAACAGACACCTGTTGACAAGAAATTGTTTATAGACATTTGTAAATAACAACAATTCACTGAAATGAGAAATATAAACCTTTGTTATGAGACCATCCATGGGAAATCCAAAACATGGTATCTTAATGCAGGTTTCTCTTAATACAGGTTCAGTTCAAAATGAACTCAATACAATAGGGACCACTGAAAGTGGTCTCTTAACATAGGTTGTCTCTTAGTGGAGGTGGTCAAAAGAGAAAGTTTGACTATGTACATATTCATATACATGCAGATTCCAAATTTGAAGTAGGTGTTTTGCTTCCTAAAAAAATCTTCAGTAACATACTGGTCCAAATTTAACATGATTTACTGGGTGCAATGTAGCAGATATCTTACGGACATTATTGCTCTATAAGGATACAGTACAGCAAGAATGAAACAACCATATCTGGTTAGCCTGCTGTCAGTATAATGTGTCCGGGTGGAATACTCTGTTAGGTGCCTTCGGCATGGTATTTCAGTGAGATAGCACTACTAAAAAGTCGGCATCAGAACCGCGCTGTGACAAGGAGGCAAATACAACAACATACCCTGCCTCTACCAAACATACACATATGCATGCATACACAACACACACGGAGGCACGTCCTTAAATGACCTTAGCCATTAATAGGATGCTAAACCATTTGAAACCAAAACCAAACCTGATTATGAAAATCCAGATTTTAGCCTACTGCACATTGTTACCCCATTCCAAAAATATATATACAATTGCAAAGCTAGGTTCTGATACTAAATGTATCTTGTTCATAACAACCATTTGGTGGGTAGGTGAAATTATTTCTGATGCTGATTAAAACACCTCGAATACTGCAAGTTAACGTCAGCTGAAAGCAAACCTTTAAGTGATTTATTCTCATTAGATTTTATACACAATCCAATACCAAATATATCACACACATCTGATTGCAAAAAATCAAGTTTTAACCAAATTGAAACTAGAAAATGTCTGTAAAACATGAATGCCCTTGATCTTTATACTGTATAGAGTTTAGTAAAAATCCTTTAGGTACCACTGTAGACCAAAATGGACTCAACCAGATCAATGCATGGTAGAGTTTACTAAAGTTAGATAGGGGTGAAAGGGTAAGAAATGAAACTGCTAGAGTAATCAAAATGAAATGGTTGACAATTTGTTTTATAAATAGTAACAGTAACATTGACCTCTGAACCCTGTTATTCAAACTGCATTGAAATGACTTGGGTTATTATGGGTCATTTTCGTCCTAAAAAAAAATATGAAAATTTCACAACTTGAATTTATTTACCAATTTCTGTTATAAAAATCATATAGGTTATTTAGGGCTATCTTTCTTGGTGCACAACTTTTTCAAAGTCCATGTGTAGATGCCCTACCATAGCAAGAAAATTGCATTACTATGCAGAAATAGCCAAAATATGGTGTTTTTGGACAGTTAGCATACAAAAATGAAAGCCTCCACATGTGACAAACAAAAATTCCTTTCTACAAATGAACACTGGTATGACAAGGTTTAAGCATGTCAAATAAATGTTTTGTGCATGTGGAGGCTTTCAAACATTCAAGAGTATTTAGTTAAAATGCTTCGAAATGGCCAACTTTCAACGTAAATAGCACACATCAGATGAAATTCATGCATTCTGCTATGAAAAATATGGGTTTTTACCTCTTTTTGTCATGCCAAATCTCCTATACCACTTGTCGGATGCATTTGAAATTTAATTTTGCGTATTTCATTTATTCCAGATTATAAATATATATATGACTATAACCACTAATTCTAAATCCCTGATGAGGCCAGAAATGACCTTTAACATCCTAAGTCCTTTGTTCAAAACCTGTTAAGAAAGGAATTAAGGTCAATATAATGATGACGCTGAATTGGGGTAGGATGGGATGTGATCGTAAGGACATGGGGAACACTACATGTACCGGCACAAAATAGGGGGGGGGCATGAAAGGTATTTCAAAATGCACAAATCTAATATCCCTCCTCGATCAGTGACGGATGTGAAACGCGTCAAACAAAATGATGGCAACCTCTCACTTCCTTGATTGCTAACAGATGTGAAACGGGACAAACTAAATACTTCCAAATGTCTAAGGTTTGCATGTAAACAAAACGGAATACTTTTACAAATCTTTACTTTGGTAGTTTTTCGTAAAACCAATCCATCTGTGTGCTTGACATTTTACTGCACAACCAACCAGACCATTTTACCTGGAATATTGACTGAAATGGCACCCATTAAAACCCCCGAAACAGACGACCTTTTCACAATTTCCATTACCTTAGTCTAACATAGTGACATATAACTAGGAAAACTAATTGAAATGCACGATTTCACGTCTGTCCTTTTTAGCTGCAGTAGACCAGTAAGGGCAGACAATCCATTATGGAGTTAGCAACCTTTCCTCACCTTTGTCAGAACATTACCCCGAGACTTAAATAGACACAATTCGGACAAGGGTATGCGGGCCCAGTAAAGTTTTGATTGTTTATTTATGACTTTCTTTACAACAAAAATGTCTGGGATATTTCTAAGAAAATCAAACAGAGAAGAAAATCAGATTAAAGATGACGTTTACAATTAGTGGGTTTATTTATTCTCTTGTTGACCGAAACGACAGGAAGACTAAAATATTTTCTCAACAAAAATAAATTTAAGATAGATGAAAGACACACCAATTTTCATCTTCAGATGACATAAAAATTCCAAACACAATAAAAAACAAAGACCAATCTCAGACACTACGGGCATACCAATCTCAGACACTACGGGCATACCACACCACACACTACAGACATACCACACCACACACTACAGACATTCCACACCACACACGACGGACATACTACACCACACACGACGGACATACCGCACATTAAAGACATACCACACCACACACAACAGACATACCACAACACACCACACACTACGGACATACCACACCACACACTACGGACATACCACACACTACAGACATACCAGACACTACGGACATACCACTCACTACAGACATACCAGACACTAACGACATACCACACACTACAGACATACCAGACACTGCAGACACACACTACAGACATACCAGACACTCCAGACACACACTACAGACATACCGGACACTACAGACACATACTACAGACACACCACACATACACTACATACACAACCCACACCACACACACACACTACACTACATACACACCAGACACACACCCCCCCCCCCCCCCACACCAAACCCACACACTACAGACATTCCACACCATACACTACGGACATACCAGACACACACACCACAGACACACCACACACCAGACACACCACACACTACAGACACACCACACACCAGACATACACTACATACACACCAGACACACATTACAGACATAACAGACATACACTACATACACACCACACACCAGACACACACACAACAGACACACCAGACACACATTACAGACATAGCAGACACACCACACACACACCACAGACAGACACACACCCCACACAAAAACCACACACTACAGACACACCCCACACCAGACACACACTACATACACACCAGACACACATTACAGACATAACAGACACACACTACATACACACCACACACCAGACACACACACTACAGACACACCAGACACACACACACTACAGACACACCAGACACACACACTACACTACATACACACCAGACACACACACTACAGACACACCAGACACACACACTACAAACAGTACAGCCTCAGATCCTACACACAATGCTATTCTATCCTTTGCAGCACTGTCTTCAAGCACATTTATCAATGCTCCAGGCACACTGCATGGGTTTATAAGGTGTAATCTATCTCTGTATTTGACTTACAAGCTCTAACACTGTAGTCCTTATCAGCTGCAGAATCCATTACAGAAGTGAGGTATAATACACTAGATGTGGGTGTAGGCTTACCAGTATAGGGTAGGCAACAGATTCTGTGGGAAGGCAATAAAAACCTCTCCGAGGAAGCATCTGTGCCCAATCACTGTTATTAGATAATGTCAGTTGCACACAGGCCCCAAAAAAACTACCAAAGCAATTTGTATAGCATTCTATAGTTTAATCAACACACTTACAATCACTTTACAACTGGTATGATCCCCAGCAAGGCTCGCCTTGTAAAAATGTACTGCTCAAATCAAGTGATAAATCACCTATAAAACTGCTTTAGAATGATTCAGTAAATTATGAAGAGACATGATAACAAATTATGCTTTACTGGTCCCCAGTATTAAGTTAAGATTGATATGCGCCGATAAGTTTTAGGTCGTAATTAAAAACACAGGAGTTTTTACGCTGCCGTAACTGATGCAGCTCTGGTAGATAATGGCACCAGTTTCTGCAGCTGAAATGGAGAAGATTAAGGCTGATGCATTATCGAGCCCGGTAATAGAACATAAAAGATTTGAAATGAGTTGCAAGCGAACCTACCACATAGCTTTGTCCTTCTTCAGCAGTTTAGGCGTGTTATCTTGGAGTTTTTCGTTGCTCTTCTGTGCTCGGATATATCTATAAATAGATAGAAAGCCAGAACATCAAAGCAATTTGATTGTAAGTTATTTGAAGTCTTTCCATATTGTAGCAACTAAAGCAAAGCATAAAAAAGCAAAATGTGAAAAGAAAGATGCAAGACATTCAATTCATTGACTTGTACGATAAAAATTCTTCCGATATTATACATTTTCCATATTTACAAATCAAATCAATCATATTCAACCAGGCATGTGTCTTTAAGTGAAAAAGGAAATGTGGAGATTTAAAACAAGTTTATGTGAAAATGACTTGATATAAATTTAAATTTCTCTCTGACTCACAAATAATACACACCATTCTAAAACAGGATATTTTCTAAGTAAAATTACTACAAATTCATGCTGGTACTGTTGCCCAACTACAGAAATATTTCTTCCAATACATTTATTTACAGGAACTTAACTTCTTTACAATGATAGCTCTTTTGTCATTTAACTGGTAAATTCATTACTGCACTACTGAATGTTTCCTCAGAAGATGTTCCCGTTAGTGCTAAATGCTTATGGATTTAATTATAAAACTTAAAATGTTTGATGATACAACTTAGAACAAGGAACGGTACATGCAAAACATTTAATGACTAAAAGCTTTAATGATATGACGAAATGTTTAATAGTAAAACTTTTACCGATAATGGTATATAACTCAGACTGGTAAACGGTAAAACTCAAAATTGTTTCATGGATAGTCTGAACATTTAATGGTATAACTCAATTATTTAATGGTATAACTCCAAATATTTCATGGTATAACTTAAACATTTAATGGTATAACTCAATTATTTAATGGTATAACTCCAAATATTTCATGGTATAACTTGAACATTTAATAGTATAACTCAATTATTTAATGGTATAACTCAAAATATTTCATGGTATATAGCCTGGACATTTAATGGTATAACTCACTTATTTAATGGTATAATGCCAAATAATTCACGGTATAGCCTGAACATTTAATGGTATAACTCAATTACTTAATGGTACAACTCCAAACATTTAATGGTATAACTCCATTATTTCATGGCCTAACTTGAAACAGGATGTTGCCAAGTTCCATGAGTAGGCTCTTTACCCTGGTTATTGTATACCTGGAAACTTTCGCCCAGTCAAATATTTGTCCTTCGCTTGTAAAATCCATGTTGGCTCAGTGTTAATTTCGCCCTTAAAATGTAATAACTACATAGCGCTGTTTACTTATATTCACGCAGTAACGATAAGTTTCCTTTCATAACGGAGGGCAAAAAAAGCTGAAAAAATTGAACTGCAGCAAAAAATGTCCAGGTTCACACTATTACAACCAATGAAGGACAATTAATTTTTTCTCACAAATGCTTAGTTTTACAACAGCAATACACAAATAACAATATGTTCACGAATTTTAAAAATGTGAAATAAACAATCTAATATATATAAGCAGTGTTAAAACATGTCTATAAAATATTCAATCTGCAGCAAACAGACCTGTTTCCCTTGCGGAACTCTGCCTCCAGCCAACGAATTGCCTCTCGGGCCCGCCCCGACTCCTTCTTCAGGACATCAAGCGTATCTATCACTACAAACACAAGGTTTTTATCAAGTTTATCTTCAAGTACTGTAAAATCAAGGTAATCAAGTAAATACGGGGTCACAGAAACTTTACAACATAAATTCAAAAGATTTTCTAGATAAAAAGTCATTATGAAGTGATTTTCAAGGATAAAAAGTCATTATCAAGCGATTTTCAAGGACTTAAAATTTTCAAGTCACAAGTTTTCAAGTTTTTTTCAACGTGACATTTTGAACGATTTTCAATGACATGTAAAACATCTTAGAGATTCTAAACATAATCTTTTGGTGGTTGATAAAAAGACATTCCATATGAGTGGAGGAAATTTAAAGTACACCAACAATATCTTCTTCCATTGAGTGAGCCCCATACCAGATATATTCTACCAGTGAGTGAGCCTAGTACCAGATATATTCTACCAGTGAGTGAGCCCGATACCAGATATATTCTACCAGTGAGTGAGCCCCATACAGATATATTCTACCAGTGAGTGAGCCCGATACCAGATATATTCTACCAGTGAGTGAGCCCCATACCAGATATATATTCTACCAGTGAGCGTCTTACCAGATATTGGGATGACGAGGATGCCTTTGCCGGACTGTGAGAGCTGCTTGACCATGTTGAGGCAGTCACACAGGCACTGAGGGTCTGGGATGAGGTATGGTGGGAAGCTGGACTGGTCATGTTTGTCCAGTGATCCCTCTAGCTGACTAACCTCAGCCTAACACAACAAAACAGTCACCCTAGTTACACAGTAGGCCACATACTGCTACAAACAAGTTACATTAAACAGTCACATGATACAACAAAATTGTCACACTAGTCACACAGTATGTCACATAGCAGTCCCACAAAACAGTCACACGATACACAAAATAGTCACTCTAGTCACACAGTGTGTCACATAGCAGTCCCACAGAACAGTCACATGATACACAAAATAGTCACTCTAGTCACACTGTGTCACATAGCAGTCCCACAAAACAGTCACACAATACACAAAATAGTCACACAGTATGTCACATAGCAGTCCCACAAAACAGTCACACGATACACAAAATAGTCACTCTAGTCACACAGTGTGTCACATAGCAGTCCCACAAAACAGTTACATGATACACAAAATAGTCACTCTAGTCACACATTATGTCACATAGCAGTCACACAAAATTCACACGACACACAAAATAGTCACTCTAGTTACAATGTGTCACATAGCAGTCCCACAAAACAGTCACATGATAAACAAAATAGTCACTCTAGTCACACAGTATGTCACATAGTAGTCTCACAAAACAGTCACACAATACACAAAATAGTCACACAGTATGTCACATAGCAGTCCGAAAAACAGTCACACGATACACAAAATTGTCACTATAGTCACACAGTATGTCACATAACAGTCCCACAATACAGTCACACGATACACAAAATAGTCACTCTAGTCACTCTAGTCACACAGTATGTCACATAGTAGTCTCACAAAATAGTCACACAGTATGTCACATAGCAGTCCGAAAAACAGTCACACTATACACAAAATTGTCACTATAGTCACACAGGATGTCACATAAGAGTCCCACAATACAGTCACACGATACACAAAATAGTAACTCTAGTCACACATTATGTCACATATCAGTCCCACAAAACAGTCCCACGATACACAAAATAGTCCCTCTAGTCACACAGTATGTCACATAGCAGTCCCACAAAACAGTCACACGATACACAAAATAGTCACTCTAGTCACACATTATGTCACATAGCAGTCCCACAAAACAGTCCCACGATACACAAAATTGTCACTCTAGTCACACAGTATGTCACATAGTAGTCTCACAAAACAGTCACACAATACACAAAATAGTCACACAGTATGTCACATAGCAGTCCCACAAATCAGTCACACGATACACAAAATAGTCACTCCAGTCACACAGTGTGTCACATAGCAGTCCCAGAAAACAGTCACACAATACACAAAATAGTCACTCTAGTCACACAGCATGTCACATAGCAGTCCCACAAAACAGTCACACGATACACAAAATAGTCACTCTAGTCACACAGTATGTCATATAACAGTCTCACAAAACAGTCACACGATACACAAAATAGTCACCCTAGTCACACAGTATGTCACATAGCAGTCCCACAAAACAGTCACACGATACACAAAATAGTCACCCTAGTCACACAGTATGTCACATAACAGTCACACGATACACAAAATTGTCACTCTAGTCACACAGTATGTCACATTGCAGTCCCACAAAACAGTCACACGATACACAAAATAGTCACTCTAGTCACACAGTATGTCACATTGCAGTCCCAACAAAACAGTCACAAAATACACAAAATAGTCATTCTAGTCACACAGTATGTCACATAACAGTCCCACAAAACAGTCACATGATACACAAAATAGTCTCTCTAGTCACACATTATGTCACATAGCAGTCCCACAAAACAGTCCCACGATGCACAAAATTGTCAATCTAGTCACACAGTATGTCACATAGCAGTCCCCAAAACAGTCACACGATACACAAAATTGTCACTGCAGTCACACAGTATGTCACATAGCAGTCCCACAAAACAGTCACATGATAAACAAAATAGTCACTCTAGTCACACAGTATGTCTCATAGCTGTCCCACAAAACAGTCACACGATACACAAAATTGTCACTCCAGTCACACAGTATGTCACATTGCAGTCCGACAAAACAGTCACACGATACACAAAATAGTCACCCTAGTCACACAGTATGTCACATAGCAGTCCCAAAAAACAGTCACACGATACACAAAATAGTCGCTCTAGTCACACAGTATGTCACATAGCAGTCCCCAAAACAGTCACACGATACACAAAATTGTCACTCCAGTCACACAGTATGTCACATTGCAGTCCGACAAAACAGTCACACGATACACAAAATAGTCACCCTAGTCACACAGTATGTCACATAGCAGTCCCAAAAAACAGTCACACGATACACAAAATAGTCGCTCTAGTCACACAGTATGTCACATAGCAGTCTCACAAAACAGCCACACGATACACAAAATAGTCACTCTAGTCACATAGTATGTCACATAGCAGTCCCACTAAACAGTCACGTGATACACAAAATAGTCACTCTAGTCACACAGTCTGTCACATTGCAGTCCCACAAAACAGTCACACGATACACAAATTGTCACTCCAGTCACACAGTATGTCACATGGCAGTCCCACAAAACAGTCACACGATACACAAATTGTCACTCCAGTCACACAGTATGTCACATTGCAGTCCCACAAAACAGTCACACGATACACAAAATAGTCTCTCTAGTCACACAGTCTGTCACATTGCAGTCCCACAAAACAGTCACACGATACACAAAATAGACACTCTAGTCACACAGTGTGTCACATAGCAGTCCCAGAAAACAGTCACACAATACACAAAATAGTCACACAGTATGTCACATAGCAGTCCGAAAAACAGTCACACGATACACAAAATAGTCACCCTAGTCACACAGTATGTCACATAGCAGTCCCACAAAACAGTCCCACGATGCACAAAATTGTCAATCTAGTCACACAGTATGTCACATAGCAGTCCCCAAAACAGTCACACGATACACAAAATTGTCACTGCAGTCACACAGTATGTCACATAGCAGTCCCACAAAACAGTCACACAATACACAAATTGTCACTCCAGTCACACAGTATGTCACATGGCAGTCCCACAAAACAGTCACACGATACACAAAATTGTCACTGCAGTCACACAGTATGTCACATAGCAGTCCCACAAAACAGTCACACGATACACAAAATTGTCACTGCAGTCACACAGTATGTCACATAGCAGTCCCACAAAACAGTCCCACGATACACAAAATTGTCACTCCAGTCACACAGTATGTCACATTGCAGTCCGACAAAACAGTCACACGATACACAAAATAGTCTCTCTAGTCACACAGTCTGTCACATTGCAGTCCCACAAAACAGTCACACAATACACAAAATAGTCACTCTAGTCACACAGTATGTAACATAGCTGTCCCACAAAACAGTCACATGATACACAAAATAGTCACTCTAGTCAAACAGTATGTCACATAGCTGTCCCACAAAACAGTCACACGATACACAAAATAGTCACTCTAGTCACACAGTATGTCACATAGCAGTCTCACAAAACAGTCACACGATACACAAAATACACAAAACAGTCACTTAGCAATTGAAAAACTGTCACAAAGTCACAAAATGGTCACACAGCAGTCATTTAACCATTATGAAAATAAACTCAAAATTTCTGAAAGTTTCATCTCTTTCTGAGATGGTCAGATAACAAAGCAGAGAGGAAAAAGACTTATCCAATTGTAATATAGGCATTAATCCAATCAAATACCAAAATTAAGTACAACCCATTGGGAGCAAACCTTAGTAAAGAGCATTAGGTTATTAACCAACAGATCCACTACCACACGTTTCAACCTAAGGAGTGTTGGATCACCATATATCATCTATTGATCAGAAACTAGAAATTTGTTTATACACACCTGTAATCGTAACTGTGCCATGTCCCTCATCAGCTGGTTCCGTCTGCTTTCTTCGTCTGCCTAAAAAATAATAAACAGAAACTAGGCTAAAGAAAGGTCAACATGCAGGTTTTATATTTCGACTTGTCCCCTTATTTTATTTTTCCAGCACATTGTACACACAAGAAGACATTGTTATAAAACATGTAACACTTATTGTCCAGTGGAAACTTTGGAATTATAACAAGGTTTGACGATATAACGAACGAGATGAAATTTGTATTACATGTACAAGGAAGATGCACAAAGAAAAAGATAAAGGAGAATTGAAATATAGAAAATCAGTGAAATAAACATTCAAACCTGCTCAAGAGACCACCTCTGTTAAGAGACCACCTGTTTTAGGCAAACACTTCCAAAACTCTCCATTCTATTTACTGTCATGTAACCTGAACCTGTATTCAGAGACCACCTGTAACAGAAGACCACTTCAAAGATGTCCTGAAGGGTTTCTCTGAATACAGGTCTCACTAGGTACTTTCTACCTCAATTTTTAAAAAGCCTGTTCCTACATAATTTGGGAAAATAAAGCATTATTTTTATCGAAATTGAGAGTATATTCTTCATTTTCGGAAAAAGAACTTTTTCTAAGGGAAACAGCCTGTATTTGGCTGTAAAATAAGGCAAATAAAATATCACTGGCTGTACAAATAAAATATTTAATATTAACTTCAACATTGGTTTACTTTAAACAAGGTGGTCATTGAAATTGAGGGGCATTACATCAAGGTTTAATTCTACTTTATCATTACACCAAGGTAGGCTCACAATAAGCAATATCTAAAACACTCTTTTTAAAATCCAACACAAGTTTGAGGATTCACATGCTTTAATTAACTAATGTTAGGTAGAATACTGCAATTAATTAATTCTTGTGAGGTGACGTTCATCAATCTAGGGCAGCTAATATCGCTGAATGCTTATTAAGAATTGGTGTGAACTGTTCAGGAAGAGATGAACACTGAGGCCTGCCGATTGAAACGTAATTTCTGCTGGGGGATTGGAAACGGAATAAACTCTCAATTCCAACGGAATCTTTAAACATTAATAACACAAGGGCAATGATATTGTTTTTTAACCTGTAAAACAAAATTGACTAAAAAAAAATCAAAAGTCTCAGAAACATTAAGGATACATATATGTATGGTAACCATGGCAACAGCCTCACTCAATCTTAAACTGTCAACATAAACAATTTTGGAACCTTTTCCAATCTCCTATCTCTTGAATATTGTCAGAGTTAAATAGATGCTGTGTAATCCGTGGACCAGTAAAGGGAATTCCTTGGGACTAGTCCCATTACTGAATGTAAATACACATCAACTTTAACCAATACACTATATATCTGTGGAACAGCACCAGTAAAGTACAAAGATCTTTTCCGTGATAATAATGATACGGGACTAGGGAACAAAAGGAATGCGTAGAACGTCAGGCTTTTATGTACAATAATGATGCAGTCCCCTGAGATCTATAAATACTTTGCCTGTTGTACATGTAGAAAGAGCACCAATGACAGCTCCTTACTTAGCAACGACATGTCAATTTCTGATACAGCAACATGTCACATGACAATTTCTGATACAGCAACAATATGTCAATTTCCGATACCGCAATAATATGTCAATTTCTGATACAGCAACAATATGTCAATTTCTGATACCGCAAAAATATGTCAATTTCTGATACAGCAATAATGTCAATTTCTGATACAGCAACAATATGTCAATATCTGATACAGCAACAATATGTCGATTTCTGTTACAACAACATGTCAATTTCTTAACAGCAACAACATGTCAATTCCTGATACAGCACAAATATGTCATTTTCTGATACAGCAAAAACATGTCAATTTCTGTTACAGCAACAATATGTCAATTTCTGATGCAGCAACAATTATGTCAATTTCTGTTACAGCATCAATATGTCCATTCCTGATACAGCAACAATGTGTCAATTTCTGATACAGCAACAATGTGTCAATTTATGATACAGCAACAATGTGTCTATTTCTTATACAGCAACAACATGTCAATTTCTGATACAGCAACAGCATGTCAATTTCTGATACAGCAACAACATGTCAATTTCTGATACAGCAACAACATGTCAATTTCTGATACAGCAACAACATGTCAATTTCTGATACAGCAACAATATGTCAATATCTGATACAGCAACAATATGTCTATTTCTTATACAGCAACACCATGTCAATTCCTGATGCAGCACAAATATGTCAATTTCTGATACAGCAAAAATATGTCAATTTCTGATACAGCAATAATATGCCAATTTCTGATACAGCAACAACATGTCAATTTCTGATACAGCAACATGTCACGTGACAATTTCTGATACAGCAACGTGTCAATTTCTGATACAGCAACAATATGTCGATTTCTGTTACAACAACATGTCAATTTCTTAACAGCAAAAACATGTCAATTCCTGATACAGCACAAATATGTCAATTTCTGATGCAGCAACAATTATGTCAATTTCTGTTACAGCAACAACATGTCAATTTCTGATACAGCAACAATATGTCGATTTCTGTTACAACAACATGTCAATTTCTTAACAGCAACAACATGTCAATTCCTGATACAGCAAAAACATGTCAATTTCTGTTACAGCATCAATATGTCAATTCCTGATACAGCAACAATGTGTCAATTTCTGATACAGCAACAATGTGTCAATTTATGATACAGCAACAATATGTCTATTTCTTATACAGCAACAACATGTCAATTCCTGATGCAGCACAAATATGTCAATTTCTGATACAGCAAAAACATGACAATTTCTGATACAGCATTGGTTTCAAAATAAATCAACAACCTTTTGGTTATAGATAAATCATTAAGATGCTGGTTTTACATAAATGATTCAGATAAATCAACAATATGTCAATTTCTGATGCAGCAACAATATGTCAATTTCTTATACAGCAACAACATGTCAATTTCTGATACAGCAACAACATGTCAATTTCTTATACAGCAACAACATGTCAATTCCTGATACAGCACAAATATGTCAATTTCTGATACAGCAACAATATGACAATTTCTGATACAGCATTGGTTTCAAAACAAGAGGCCCAGAGGGCCTGTATCGCTCACCTGGATACCAAAGCAATCATGGCAAAATATTCTCCGAATGAGATCAAGGGAATATGCCAGACCCCAAGGCCAATCCTTGTAGCATATCTGTACATGTATTAGATTCTTCATGCCCAGCAATTTTATGTATGGTTATGGGGTGGGGATCTCAACTGTTTCCAAGCTTTGACTCAGAAACTAGGTCCCTAGGGTTGTGGCCAGACCCCAGGATCAATTCTAATATCGTGACTGCATTTGTCTCTTTTTGCCCAGCATTTGTATATATAGTTTTGGGGTGGGGATCTCAACCATTTCAAAGTTATGACCCAGGGGTTAAGTCTGCAAGGGTGGGGCAGACCCTGGGGTCAATTCTAATATCATGACTGCATTCGTCTTTTTATGCCCAACAATTGTATATATAGTTTTGGGGTGGGGATCTAAACCATTTCGAAGTTATGACCCAGGGGTTAAGTCTCAAAGGGTGGGGCAGTCCCCAAGGCCATCCTGGAAGCATATGTGCAATCATCTCTTTATACTCAGCAACTGTATAAACCGTTATAGGGTGGGGCTCTCAACTGTTTCCAAGCTGTGACTTAAACAAACTAGGTCCCTAGGGGTTCGGTCAGACCCCAGGGTCTGTTCTGATATCATGACTGCATTCGTCTTTTTATGCCCAGCATTTATATATATAGCTTTGGGGTGGGGATCTCAACAGTTTTAAAGTTATGGCCCAGGGATTATGTCCCCAAGGGTGGGGCCAGACCCTATAGCCATCCTGGAAGCAAATGTGCATTCTTCTCTTTATACTCAGCAATTGTATACCATGGTTATATGGTTGGGATCTCAACCATTTCCAAGTAATACACTTTTTTTGGCCCCACCCCTTAGCCTGGGGGGTCAGCCCCACCATTTGTATAATTTTGAATCCCTGCCTCCCATGAATGATTCCGACCAAATATGATTGATATCCATGGCATAGTTCTACAGTAGAAGTCGTTAATAGCAATATAGCCAAATTGACTCCTTTTGGCCCCGCCCCTCAGCACACACAATGTTCTGTCAATAATAAACATACAATATTCATCAGTTTAATATTAAACATCAGAATATACGGATATTGTGATACTGTCTTCCTACATTGGATTTTCAACTAGGGATGTACTTCCTGTTTCCGTTTATCAATACAATCCAATGACCTTAAAAGAAATTGTTGACGGACGGACAGACGGACGGATGGACGACGGACGCCATGGTATGGCATAAGCTAATAAATCAACAACCTTTTGGTTTTAGATAAATCAACAAGATGCTGGTTTCACATAAATGATTCAGATAAATCAACAATATGTCAATTTCTGATGTAGCAACAATATGTCAATTTCTGTTACATCAACATGTCAATTTCTGTTACAGCAACAATATGTCAATTCCTGATACAGCAACAATGTGTCAATTTATGATACAGCAAAAACATGACAATTTCTGATACAGCATTGGTTTCAAAATAAATCAACAACCTTTTTGTTTTAGATAAATCAACAAGATGCTGGTGTCACATAAATGATTCAGATAAATCAACAACATGTTCTGTTTTCGATAAATTAACAACATGTTGGTTTCAGATAAATCAACAAAAAATCAACATCATGTTGGTTTCAGATAAATCAACAACATGTTTGTTTTGGATAAATCAACATTATTTTGGTTTCAAAAGAAATCAAAAACCTTTATCAGAAATCAGCATGTTTTAGATAATCAACAACATGTCAATTTCTGATAAAGAAATGACATCCTGATTTTAGATGAATCAGTAACATGTCGATTTCAGGTAAATCAATGACATCACAGGTTCAGAGAAAGTAATGACATGTCAGTTACAGAGTTACATACAATCTATAGGAGGAAGAT